CATTTTATAAACTTATTAAAATATTTTTAATAAAATTATTTTTTTATTATTTTATTAAAAATATTTTAATAAATTTATATGATATACTGTATTTTGAATCTCATAAACTATATCTCATGTTAGCTTATTAATTCATTTTATAAATTTATTAAAATATTTTTAATGAAATTATTTTTTTATTATTTTATTAAAAATATTTTAATAAATTCATATGATATACTGTATTTTGAATCTCATAAACTATATCTCATGTTAGCTTATTAAGATATTTTGCTAATTTTGAAGCATATTTTTTGTTCAGCCTATTACAGGTAGGGGTTGCATGAGGTGCCCCTACGTGCGTCTTCTACAAAGACTTTCTCTATAAAGGTAGGAGTTAGTATTCAAACTAAATTTGCTTTCGGCCAAAAAAAAAAAGAAAAAAAAGAAATCGCAATTTGCTTCCCTGGACCAGTTCATGACTCTTGCATTTATGTACCGCCATTTGTATCCTAGTTAACTTCCTCATTTCATTTTTAGACCAAAATTCTTTCATATAATTTCTTGCACGCCAATATGGCTTCCTCAGATGGGTGCCGTGGAGAGACATGATGATCTTACAATTTGAATGTCATGGGCTCAATTCCAGCCTTGGCAGAATCTCCACATCCTTCCTTAACAATTGGATCAATTTTATTTCGAGCTATCCAGGCATGCCACAATCTGGTGTTTTTGTTTTGCCTTTATTTCGGTTTCTTTAACTTATGTAAGACTTTTGTTTTCAAAAAAATTATTATATAATTTAAATTGTTCTAAATTTTATAATTAAAATTATTAAATGAAATACAAATTTTTTAATATTAAATTTTTTTTAATAATTTATACTTTACAAATTTTTATAATTTAAATTGTAAAACATGATTCTCTTTCTTTTTTGCTTCCATAATAATAGGATGAAATTTCTTAAGAAAAAAAAGAGGAAAAAAAAGCTAGGCGTGCAACATATTGCACTAACAATAATAACGACCATCCCCGGTTAGTTAATTCCCAGGAAAATCCCTGTCGAAAAATATCAAGAAGGTGAGTTACCTAAATCGTCCAGGTTGCATGTATATTCAAACAATCAGTATACATTTTCCCTTTCAATAATTCTTCTCGTCTTGCGTGAGGGGTGAGGTAGCACTCACACTTGACAATGGCCCTTTTTCTAATTAATTCTCGTTGAAAAAATACTTCTTTCAAAATCAAGGGCATCCGTGTAATTATTTCCAATTGGAGGCATGGCGCAAGATATGATGAAGTCATTCACCAGATAACGACGGAAAATGAATGGGGAACCGCAAGTGCATGTGTTTGCCCCTTTGACTTTATTGTATATTATTTGATAATTTTTTTTATCAATCATGAAAAGAAATTTAAACAGCAGTATAATGTTTTTGGGCAGAATCAAATTATATTTTAAAGAAATATAAGTGGTATTTCAACTCTTATTACGTTATTAATCATAAAGTTATTAACGAAAATCACAAGATAAATACTTGTGGAACATTGGAACCCATCTCCCACGTGTATCTGCACACATATTTAC